ATTAATTAGTGTTCATAGTTCAAAACAATTGATATCCTGTTGGGATCCGAGAACAATGGGCGATAAAATCAAAGGCTGGAACAAAACACACAAGGGACAGAGACGAAACAATGGCAGCAGCGCGATTTGAAGGTCGGACAGACAACCGTTAAGACTCGCTCTGGGCATTAATTTAATGTAAACCCAACAACTCCGGGAATCCACCCTTGGCTTGCAACTAATCCTCTTTAGTGTAACAGCCAGTCAGAACATTTAATCTGACAGGCCATAAAAAGAAAATATTCCAAATGGGAGATTTCAGAAATTTTCGTTGTGTGTGCGGACAGACAGCAGCAGAAAAAGGGACTCATGGACAGACAGACAGACGAAGCGATCATCTAGAATAACACTTTGGAAAACTCGAGTACCTGCCAGGCGAGAAGAGACAATTGCCTCGAAACAACCACCAACATCATCGTCAGCTCTCTTGGGTATAAATACCAGCCCCGAGTAAAGGAAAAACATCAGTCTGCTTGCGTCAAGCAAAGCGAAAACACATCAAACTCGATCAACATTACAACAAATAAAAAGAAAATTACAACAACAATGGCTCCCTCACAAATGGAACATCAACAAGAACAGTCTATGGGCCATGGATACACCCACAAGAAGTTCAACTGCGGATATTCACACAAGAAACTGGGAATGCGCCTAAGGCAAAGGGAAATCAATGACAACAAAGAAAACATTGAACAACAACAGGAAAATAACCAAAAATCCTCCAATAGTTCCACATCTCGTAATCTCTTCCGGCCCTATGCCTTGGATGATGATGTGCGCCGGAAAAGAAAAACTAGCTGTGATTCCTCATCGGCAAGCTCAGATGAAGAATGCAGCCAACAGCAATTTGTCTCAACACCTCAGAGCTCACCAACCAATAGCTTCTATCAGCAGCAACAACAACAAATCTTAATGTCATCACCCACGGCCTCAACAACCTGTCCCTCACCAGCCCTGAGTCCCAATTCTTATGCTGAACGTTTGCAGAGACAAAGGGCTGCCCTCTATATGCGTTACATGCAACAATTTCAACAGCAGCAACAACATCCATCACTGGAAGCGAACACCTTAGTCCACCACCAACAACAACAAGCAATGATGAATAATCCCAGCTATTATCCAATGAGTTATCCCAATGTTATTGCCGCATCCACGCCTGGATTCAATGGTTGTTAAACAAATAGGGGATATTTGATATTTCATCCCCTCTTCAACCATTGACTGGATATTATTTTTATTTTGGTGGCTGTGCTGCTTCTTTTTGTGATAAATCTTTAGAAGAATAAGACGAAGGAAAAACTTTTTAGATTTAATTTGTTAATTACTTATAATTATTATTTATTAAACTAAAATAATTTATTAATATTTATCAACATTTAAAAATAATGAGAAGAGAACGACAAGTTCCATTTAAGAAAATTTAAAACAATTTTGATTTCTTTATTTTTTTAATTTGGTTTATAAATAGACATTAGAAATACATTGGAAAAAATCCTTGGTTTAGAGCCATGAGAACGTCGCAGATGTATTTTAAAATACCCCCTCCCATGAGCCTTGGAGAGGCCTTAGAATTATTTGAACTATTTAAAAAGTATCAGTCGGTTTTGCCGTTAGATCTATCAATACCTCAACCAATATTGGATTATTTAAATTTATTTTGACTTCTGTTATGATTATTCTAATTGTTGACCCTCTATGAAGTAGGTTCCGAAGGACCATTGGACCAATATTGTCCATTTCGGATCGGTCCTAAATAAGTATGATATAAATATTGCGAGGTGCCAGATTTGGACTATATCGACTACTTCCTTTACTTTATATGAGATATGTGATAATTTTTAGAAAATGTTAAAATGTGCGTGAGTTACCATATACAGGGTGAGATAAAAAATTGCAACAAAATCAAACGCCATAATTTTTAAATTTTTTTAAAAAAAAATTATTGAATGAAAGCAAAAAATGTCGGAAATAGCATCAAATTTTAGAATAAGTTTAGATTTGTTCGAGTTGTTCACCTTTGACACGAATTATGGCCTTCAAACGACCAATGAAATCGTCACACGCTGTCCGAATGTTGCTCTGCGGTATTTTGGTCCATTCCCGGCGAAGCGCTTGCTTGAGGTGATCGACACGTTGGTATTTTTAGTGCCAACCTTGCTTTCCAAAATACTCCAGACACAATAGTCCAACGGATTGGTATCCGAAGATTTTGGTGGCCATTGTGCGCTGGAAATGAAGCGAGGAACCTCATTTTGTAACCATTCTAGGGTGGCGCGTGCGATGGTACTGAGTCCTGTTGGAATGTCAAAGGTCTGCGGCCAAAATTTTGGCCTGTCCAAGGCTTTAATACACCCTCCAAAATTCGCAATTTATTCTGATGCCACGGTCAATTAATACGAGCGGAGAGCGACCATCGGCTGTTATGGCGGCCCACACCACCACCATGACCGGCGCTTGAGTTCTGGTGGCCAACCTGGTGGAAGGTGCACATTTTCAGCTGACCTCTTTGGCAAGTAAACACGATATTTTTTTTTTGGTTACAATCAGCTGGACAACGAATGTTTTCTCATCGGAGAAAACCAAATTCGACAGTTCACCACTTTCGGCCAAGCGATGCAAATCTTTAGCTCTTTTGATTCTATTTTCTTTCTGCTGCGGTGTAAGTTTTTGGAATTTCAATGGCTTTACCCCGAGCTCATTTTTCAATATTTGCCAAATGGAATATTGCGATATGTTCAGCTCACGAGTCATTTTTCGGCTACTGCGACGCGGGTTTCGATCAGGTCGCTTCTTTACGAAAACGAACCATTTCTGCTGATGTTGCTGTTTTCTTCCGTCCACTTCCTTGACGTCGGGCTACGCTACCAGTATCAACGGTAACGAGCGATGGTACGAGACACAAAAGATTTATTCACATTTAAATGCGGGAGTGCTCTAACGATAGCAACTTGTGGTTTTCCAGCCAAATTTAAAGAAATCACACTATCATGCTTGAATTCCATCACGAATAGTTTTTTTTTTCTGGAAAATTCTCACCAAAATGTTTCTGTGCGCTTGTAAACAATATAATGAGTTTGCAGTTTGCAGTTTTCTCACCCTGTATATCATTTGATACAGCCAAAACGGGTCCATCGAGGTCCAGGTCTCAGGATATTTAAGAGTCGATCTAGAGGTGTCCGTCCGTCGGTCTGTCTGTCTGTCTATCTGGCCGGGGCGCACTTTAACTCTCTAAGGGAGTATCCGATTTTATCCAAACTTGGCACATCGTAATATTATTTTCTTACTTAGATCGAGTTTGGTGATGGACAATATAGGTCCTCATTTTCTAGTACCTCTCCCACATTTTCAATGAAATTATTTTACCTCATAGAAAGTGAAAGGATCATTCGATTTTGTGCAACCTTTGCATGTCCCAATATTTTTGTCAGTACTAGATTAAGTGCGAAAATTGACAATATCAGTCCACCCCATCGAGTTCCTCCTCACAAAGGATCAAAATTCGGAATAATTATAACTCTTTTTGAATGTGAAATCAAAGTATGATTGTCTTAATATTTTTCACATTTCAATATTTTCATTAACACAAGATCTGGTTTAAAGATTGGATGCAACGGTCCACTCCTTCTGGTATATATCCTCGAAACGGGTAAAAATAATGAATAAGCATGAAGCTCGCAAATCGCGAAATTAGCATTCGATTCCTTTCAAATTTCGCACACCTCAATATTTTCAATAACAGATACTTCGATACTTTTTAACTTGTTTTTAACAATTTTAAGATTTTTCAAAAATTGGAATTTTTTAATTAATATTTTTTTTAACTTTTATAGATTTATAAATCGAAAAATTTCAATTAACTCAAAAATCGTGGAATTTTTAAATCAGTTTTCAAACTACTTTAATTTATTTTATTTTGTTTTGTCTCTTTAAATAAAGCTGTAGGACAAAATTAAATTGGACAAACAAAAATCTTGGAATTTCGGGTGAGGCTCGGTATGGTGTGACGACCCAGGAAAGCTACTAAACTCTAAATTTCTGAGATCTCTAAGTCGTAGATTTTATGGAATTTTTCTGAAGCCTCTATGTCGTGAATTTTTAAATATTTCCAAGATCTGTTCACGGCGCTAAGCCGTCGATTTTTTAAAAATTTTTTAAAGATTTTACAAAAAGTGTAATTTTTTTATTAATATTTTTTAACTTTTATAGATTTATAAATCGAAAAATTTGAATTTAATTAAGTTTTTAAATCTGTTTTCAAACTACTTTCATTTATTTTATTTTCTTTTGCCCCTTTAAATAACACTGTGGGACAAAATTAAATTTGTCAAACCAAAATCTTGGAATTTTGGGGTTAGGCTCGGTATGGTTTGATTACCCAATAGAGCTAGAACTCTAAATTTCTGAGATCTCTAAGTCGTAGATTTTATTGAATAAGTCGTAAATTGTTAAATATTTCCAAGATTTGTCCACGTCGATAAGCCGTCGATTTTTTTAAAAAAAATTATTTTAGGTGCTCCATATTACGGATTTTCAAAAATTGTTTAAGGCATCTTCCCGGTATTTTAAATTTTAAAAATTAGACGTCCTCAGACATAACCCTCCTCCGACTTAAAGATGTTGGTTTTTAATTTCCAACGGCTTTTTTTGTCTCTAGACCAAATTTAAAAAATAAATAAATCAAAATCGTTTTAATTTTTCTTAAATGGAACTTTTCATTCTCTTCTCATTATTATTTTTTAATAAATATAAATAAATTATTTTAATAATACAAAAAATTAGTCTTGTTTCTCTTTTAGCAATTATAAGTAATTAACAACTTAAATCTAAAAATTATGTTCTTTCGTCGTATTCTTCTAAAGATTTATCACAAAAAGAAGCAGCACAGCCACCAAAATAAAAATAGTATCCAGTCAATGGTTGTGGGGGGAGGAGGGATGAAATATCAAGACTCCCCAATTAGTTTAGCAACCATTGAATCCGAGGTTAGATGGAGCAATGACATTGGGATAACCCATGGGATAATAGCTGGGATTGTTCATCATTGCTTGTTGTTGTTGGTGGACTAAGGTGGCAGCTTCCAGTGATGGATGTTGTTGTTGCTGTTGAAATTGTTGCATGTAACGCATATAGAGGGCAGCCCTTTGCCGCTGCAAACGTTCAGCGTAGGAATTGGGACTTAAGGCTGGCGAGGGACAGGTTGTTGAGACTGTGGGTGATGACATCAAGATTTGTTGTTGTTGTAGCTGATAGAAGCTATTGGTTGGTGAGCCTTGTGGTGTTGAGACAAATTGCTGTTGGCTGCATTCTTCATCTGAGCTTCCCGATGAGGAGTCACAGCTAGTTTTCCTTTTCCGACGCATATCATCATCCAAGGCATAGGGCCGGAAGAGATTACGAGACGTGGAACTATTTGAGGATTTTTGGTTATTTTCTTGTTGTTGTTCAATGTTTTCCTTGTTGTCATTGATTTCTCTTTGCCTCAGGCGCATTCCCAGTTTCTTGTGTGAATATCCGCAGTTGAACTTCTTGTGGGTGTATCCATGGCCCATAGATTGTTCTTGTCTGTGTTCCATTTGTGAGGGAGCCATTTTTGTTGTAGTTATTGTTTTCTTTTTCTTGTAGCGTTGATCGAGTTCGATGTGTTTTCGCTTTGCTAGACGCAAGCAGACTGATGTTTTTCCTTTACTCGGGGCTGGTTTTTATACCCAAAAGAGCTGGGCATGGTGGTGGTTGTTGCACAAGCATTCGCCGCCTGGCAGGTATTAGAATTTTCCAAATTGTTAAAGATTGTTGGCGGCGTTTCTCGTTAGAAGAATGCGACGAAAGGTGTTTTCGATAAACGCTGCAAGGTGTTTTTGTAGAAAAAAAAAAATGGAAAACAAAAGGACTTTCCAGACAAGACAAAGGATTTTGATTTAAAAATCCTATTTTTAGACAAAGGCCACTGTATATTCAATGGTAACTGTGAGAAATAATCTTTGATTTTTATACAATATTGCATCATGGATTTTTAAAGAAAATTTTTAAAAATGTGTTTTTCAAAAGGTAACAGAGCTATAATCATGTATTTTCTAGGGGAAAAAGGGCTAACATCCCTGATTTTTTAAGAGTTTTCAACCCTACTGGTCCTTAAAAAATTATTTTAAAAATCATGGCTGTAGCTTAGAGTTTTGAAAATATTTTTGCTCAGTTAACTCTCATGGCCCCATCAAAATATTTCTCAAATAAGCCACAATCGTTGCTCAGATGATATTTCTGTTAGCCCTTGACGAAATCTTTTTTAAGACATTTCGTGCTGGATTTTTCCATAATCAACCAAATTTTGTAGCTAGGTTTATCCTGGAATTTTTTGTGCTCAGTTGGTCCTTTAAAGCTAAATCAAATTTTCTCCTCGTTTGTATCAGTCGGTTTTCCCGCAGATGTATATCCCTAGCTTTGAGTTATGAATATGAATATTTGGGCATAACTGTTGACCCCTTATGGGGAAGGTTCCAAAGCCGTTTGCCAATATTGAACAATTCGTATCTGACCTAAGACTGACATATACTGATCCAATCTCTACCATATTTATAACAGATCTTGTGGTGATGGAAATATTTAGATGTACCGAGTCTGAATGGAATTGGATGTTAATTTCGTGTTTTTTGAGCTTCATGAATATTCAAAATTTGTTACCCTTTGTGGGGGAGGTACCAGAAGGAGTGGAACGACCTATGGGTTACCAAAAAATATTGTGATGTGTGTAATCAGCAGACAATCGGACTCTTACGTCTTATTTTATAATAGTTTAATTATTCCAAATTTTTACCGTTTGTGGGGGAGATACTTGATGGAGTGGACCGATATGGTTCATTTTCGCACCTGACCTAGCACTGACGCAAATTTTAGGATATGCAAAGTTGGAGCAGAATCGGATTATCCCTTCTCTTTCTGTGCAAAAAAAAAATATATTTTTTGAACATTTCGACCTTTTGTGGGGGAGGTACCAGAAAGAGTGGACCGATATTTTTCATCTTAACACCAGACCTTGGGTTAATATAAATATTGGGATGTGTGAAATTTAAAGACAATCGGAAACCTACATCATATTTTATAAGAGTTATAATTATTCAAAATGTTGACCTATTGTAGGGGAGATACTTGATGGAGTGGACCGACATTGTTCATTTTCGCACCTGACCTAGCACTGATGCAAATATGAGGTATTTTAAAGTTGGAGCAAAATCACATTATCCTTTCTCTTTCTCTGCAGTAAATTATTTTTACATTTTGTGGGGGGAGGTACCAGAAGGAGTTGACCGATATTGCCCATCTCCGAACTCAATCTAAGTTTGATAATAATATTACGATGTATAAAGTTTGGATCAAATCAGATGCTTCCTTCGAGAGTTATCGTGGGCACCAGCCAGCCAGATGGACGGATGGACATCGCTAGATCTACTCCAATTATCCTGAAACTGATTTGGTCCAAAGAGACCTAGGGTCTAAAACCATTATTTCGACGAGACACGTTTTTGCCATATTAAATGACATATACCCTCTCTAGCCATATGGCTGAGGGTGTAAAAAATCCTGAAACCCCCTTTGGAATTGTTGAATACACGATAATTGGTTCTTGAAAAACAAATATTTAAATAAGCCACGAATTTATTTCTGCATGTCCATTAAATAATTATTAATTGTAGCTCTATTGACCCTTAAAACATTTTTTTGCTAAATACATGATTTCAGCTCTTTATGTCCTTGGGAAAATTCTGTAAAAAAAGTCCTTGATATTTTTTAATCCACGATTGTAGGCTTCTTCGCACAAATATAACTCTATATGTCCTTGGGAAAATTCTTTAAAAAATCACCTATTTTAGCTCCATATGTCTTTTAAAAAATAATACATCGTGGCTCGGCTGATCCATTAAAATACTCCACGATTGTAGTCAGAAACAATACTATCCACTGCGATCCTCATATGTATGTCATTTAAAAGTCCTTTTTAAAAACCTCCAAATTTTTTAACCACGATCGTAGTTATCCTTCTTTGCAGTTGAAAAAAATTAAGAAACCACGCATTTAACTTTAAATGACCTTTAAAAAATTAAATGCTGGTCCTTCAAAAACATATTTTTTTTAAAAAATCCACTATTTTAGCCAAAAATGTTCCTACAATTTTTTTTAATGTATTAATTTTTCTAATCCACGGTTGTATGTGGCCTTTTTGGTCCTTTAAGAATTCTTTCTGCAATATTTTTATTTTTGGTCCTTAAAAATAGGATTTTTTCTGCTGGTCCTCGGAAAAAATATTAAAAAATCCACGATTGCAGCCAGGAAAAATCTATTCAATGTATTTCCTTTAAAGATTCTTTGATCAATTCTTTTTCACTTACGATTATTTATGATTGGTCCTTAAAATATTTAAAAACCAAAAATTTCCCTCTGTATATCCTTTAAAAATCCACTGCAGATTCTTGGAAAAAAAACAGTAAGTTCGCCCGGACCAAACTTTGAATACCCTCCACCATTTGAAACGAATTGGAAGAATTTCAGAAAAAAAAAAATAATAAAATCCTAAAACCAGTAAAGAAAGTCTTAAAGTCGGGCGGGCCGACTTTATGATACCCTACACCACTGTGCTAAGTTAGTAGAGCTGCACATAACAATTAAAAGTTTTTATGGGAGAATTCAATCATACACGCTATGATTATAATTATAATTTAAAGTTCAAAGGACTAAATATGCCGAAGCATTTGTATCTTTTAAATTCGGACTTGTATTGCCCATTTGGTGCACAATTAATTTGAAATCGGATAAAAATATATATGGGAGCTATATCCAAACAAATACAACAAATCGGATGAACAATATATATGGGAGCTATAGCTATATCTGAACCGATCTTCACCAAATTTGACATACTAGCTTCTAGACTCAGTTCGGTCGTAAGTTCCAAATTTCATCCAATTAAGCAAATTGGTGATGATCGTACTTGCGAAATTCCATACTATTCGGACTGATATTACACGTTTAGTTCACAATCAAAGGTATATCGGACGAAGTTATATATGGGAGCTATATCTTAATTTTGACCGATTATTTCCAATTTCAATAGGGTTCGTCCTTGAGCCAAACAAATGATTTGTGCAAAATAGGCAACTGTTGTCATAAGCCATTACAATATTCAAATACGAAGATTGAACAAAAAATCGGGGAACAATGTAGCTGAAATCATCAAAATACCTAATATAAGGAAGTACCGTTATATCGGGGCTATACGAAGATGTGGACCTGCACTGTCACAGGCTGTGGTATCTTTTAGGAAAACCAAATACGAAATTTCAAATAATTTCGGTGAATATTGTACCTAAAATCGTCGAAATCTGAATATAGGATTTTTCGGATGTATCGGAGCTATACGAAGTCCTTCACCTGCATAGATAATTTTCTGGCATAGACTGTAGTCCCCATTACGAACTCTAAATACGAAATTTGAAACAACTCCAGTGAATAATGTTGCTAAAAAGTCTATACAAAAACGTGGGCCTGTATATGCAATTTTTTGTCATAGGCTGTAGAGCCTATTACGAACACTAAATACGAAAATAGAATTCCCTAAAATCGTCAAAATATTGAATATCAGGGGTGTGCCGAAAGTACATGTAGTACAATTCCATTGAAAAATGTATAGGGAACCTAGGGAGGTACCGTTATATGGTGGATATACGATATCGTGGACCTATATATACACTGCTCTTACGGGGGCTAAAGTGCTTAGAAAGAACTCATTTTGCGGATTTTCAGCCATTTTCATTGAAAAATTTGGCTACATTCATCAAAGTACCGAATTTCGGAGATTACCGTTATATGGGGGCTATACGATATCGTATACCGATATAGCCCATCTTCGAAATTGACCGGCCTACCGGCAAAAGACTGATCTGTGCAAAATTTTAGCTTCCTATCTTTATTCGTTTTGACTGTAGCGTGATCACAACCGACGGTCCACGATATCGTATAGCCCCATATAACGGTACCCCCCGATATTCGGTATTTTGATGATTTTAGCCACACTTTCCAATGGAATTGTCTGAAATTCTACACAAGGAGTTCTTTGTGAAATAGAATTGTCTATATAGGTCCACAATATCGTATACCCCCATATAACAGTACCCCCCGATATTCGGTATTTTGATGATTTTAGCCACACTTCCCAATGGAATTATCTGAAATTCTACACAAGGAGTTCTTTGTGAGTACTTTACGCCCTGAAATATAATTATCTATATTGGTCTACAATATCGTATATCCCCCATACATCTGCACCTTCCAATATTCGGTATTTTTAAAATGTTAAAAGAATTTTCAATGTTTTTTTTTTTTTTTTTGAAAATTTCCTATTTTGTTGCAAATGGTGGAGGGTATTCAAAGTTCGGCACGGCCGAACTTTACTTGTTTATCTCTATACTATATATGGAGGAGGATATAAAAATATTTAAAATAATCCACGAATATTTAAAATAACCACATTTAAAATAATCCACGAATATGTTAAAGAGTACCGACAATAGGGATGCACAATTATATAAGCTCAATACCGAAAGGAGGACCTATATAGTTATACCATTATTTTTTGCAAAATTTAATGCTATACATAAAAATCTGGTCCCCTATGCGACGGTCCTTAGACAGGAAGACATAAGTCATTAGATGGCTTTGAGTTCTATGCTGATCATCAGTATAAGTAACTAATGGGGTTTCAGACATATATTTGAGAAATAGGTGTTCGGAATGAAATTCCACACCTTAAATGCGCTCTTCTTGTCATGGAGGATATAAGAGGATATTCCATGTTGGTGATGCCAATAGCAACTTTTTTATCCGATGGTCTTTGGTCTCATTGATAAACACCATATCTATATATTTTTTTCATATCGTCGAACATTTTCCTCAAAATTCTGAAATAAAATGTAATCTATTAAAAATCCCGAAGATATCTAATAAAAACTCAAATTACGCATCTTAGATACCTTAAAGAAGCATTGGAATAAAATTTTCAGAAATCGTGGACATTAATAACTCCTTAGAAAGAGATAGACGCAAAATAGGCTTCTATCCATGCTAATCCTAGTTAATTTCCCAGACAACAAATCTCGATTGCCATCACCAAATCCTTTTCCCTGGACAACTTAACCGGCTCGGCACTCATGGTCATTGAAGAAACCCATTGGTAACACAAAACATTCGAGTTTAATCCAGTTATAACTCTGATCCTTCACAATAAATCGCTTAAAATCCACTCTAGTTTAAATTTGCAACTCTACAATAGAGGCCGGAGATTAAGATTAACCGCAAAATGTTGTTTCACATTTCAAATTGGCCAATGGACCTTTCCGTTTTGTGGCAATTTTCCGAAAATCTCTCATTTTGGCATTTGTCATGGTTCACAAAAGAACAAAACAATGAACGCCGAACAAATGCCAATTTATAATTTTGTATAAACAGACAATATTTTTTATTTGGAATAACTGCCGAAACAATAGAAGCAAATGCGCATGCGTGTGATCCCTATCCTCCCTTCGAACAAAAATCCTTGGCTGCTCTATTGTTTTAAACTGAAATCCTAGCTGATTGTTTTCACGGACAATAGACCCAGGAGTTTGGCAAGGATAAATATCACATTTTAGCGCCAGTGCAATAAAAATCAACAAAAGCCGAAAACAACAACAACAACACAACAGCATTACATCCCTTCCAAGGAATTTCTTATTCCTACGCAAACTCCAAGAGGTCGTAAAGGTGTTTTCTTGTCCTTTCTGAAGATGGTTTTCTTTTTTCGCAAATTGTTATTTTATGACTTCAAGGGAAAAGGATAACCAAACATCGGTCCTTAATGGGAGAGAAAGAGAGGGAGGGATCTACATCATACTCAGGTAACAAAAAGAGCGGTTAATGCCATGTCCTTGTTGTGTATTCTCTGGAAAATCCTGCAAGCGGGCATAAAATTACAAACATCCCAAGAAAACGAAATTAATGAATGAAAGTAAATGAAAATGAAAACAAAGAGGGATTAAAAAACAGCCGTCGCACAATTGTCCGAGACAGGATAAAATAACAACAACACCACGAACCCAAAGTGTCAAATTATAACTGCTGCTGCTGGTAGGGTAGTTGTAAGAATGCGGGACCACTCTACTTATCATTATTTTGATTAATGACCCAATGCCAATACAAAAATGACAAGCAATTTACAAAAAGAAAATCAGGATCAATTGTATCAATTGCTGGTATGGGGTTCCTTGGAAAAGATTGAAAATGAGTTACGTGATTAGATGCTGCATGATCTTGCACAATTAAAATTGAGGCAGATCTTCTTAGAGGAGGCAATAGAAGCCTAGAGAGATTCCGCATAGAAAAATAAAGTCTTATCAAACAAGGAATTTTGATTAAAAAAAAACCTCCTTAAAAGGACCCTCCTCTTATAGAAGATCTTCCAGCTTTTCCCAACGGAGAGCACAATTTCTTGCAATAGAATATCAGAAGGATCTCTGAGAGAGAGTACTTTTTATATAAGACCACGTTGTCTACTCATAGAAACGCCGAAGATCTCCTAGAAAGACAAGAAGATCTTCCCACAGAAGCCCAGGAGTTATTCTTACAGAAGGCAAGTAGATCTTCTTATAGACGAGCTGATGGTTTTCTCATAGACGAGCTGAAGGTCTTCTCATAGAAGTCCAGGAAGTCTTCCGATAGAAGTCAAGAGGTCTTCTCATATAGGGCCTGGAAGTCTTCTCATAACAGGGCAGAAGGTCTTCCGATAGAAGGGCAGAAGGTCTTCTCATAGACGGCCAAGAGGTCTTCTCATAGACCCCGGAAGGTTTTATCATATAGGACCAGGAGGTCTTCTCATAAAAGGCCAGGACATCTTCTTATAGAAGGCCGGAAGGTCCTTTCATAGAAAGCCAGAAGGTTTTATCATAGAAGGTTAGAAGGTCTTCTCATAGAAGGCCAGAAGGTCTTCTTGTAGAAGACCAGAAGGTCTTCTTATAGAAGGCCAGAGGGTCTTCTTATAGAAGGCCAGGGAGTCTTCTTATAGAAGGCCAGGGAGTATTCTTTTAGAAGAGCTGAAGTTCTTCTCATAGAAGAGCTGAAGTTCTTCTCATAGAAGAGCTGAAGGTCTTCTCATAGAAGAGCAGAAGGTCTTCTCATAGAAGAGCTGAAGGTCTTCTCATAGAAGAGCTGAAGGTCTTCTCATAGAAGAGCTGAAGGTCTTCTCATAGAAGAGCTGAAGGTCTTCTCATAGAAGAGCTGAAGGTCTTCTCATAGAAGAGCTGAAGGTCTTCTCATAGAAGAGCTGAAGGTCTTCTCATAGAAGAGCTGAAGGTCTTCTCATAGAAGAGCTGAAGGTCTTCTCATAGAAGAGCTGAAGGTCTTCTCATAGAAGAGCTGAAGGTCTTCTCATAGAAGAGCTGAAGGTCTTCTCATAGAAGAGCTGAAGGTCTTCTCATAGAAGAGCTGAAGGTCTTCTCATAGAAGAGCTGAAGGTCTTCTCATAGAAGAGCTGAAGGTCTTCTCATAGAAGAGCTGAAGGTCTTCTCATAGAAGAGCTGAAGGTCTTCTCATAGAAGAGCTGAAGGTCTTCTCATAGAAGAGCTGAAGGTCTTCTCATAGAAGAGCTGAAGGTCTTCTCATAGAAGAGCTGAAGGTCTTCTCATAGAAGAGCTGAAGGTCTTCTCATAGAAGAGCTGAAGGTCTTCTCATAGAAGAGCTGAAGGTCTTCTCATAGAAGAGCTGAAGGTCTTCTCATAGAAGAGCTGAAGGTCTTCTCATAGAAGGCCAGATGGTCTTCTCATAGAAGAGCTGAAGGTCTTCTCATAGAAGGCCAGATGGTCTTCTCATAGAAGGCCAGAAGATCTTCTCATAGAAGACCAGGAGGCCGGTCTTCTCATAGAAGACCAGGAGGTCGGTCTTCTCATAGAAGACCAGGAGGTCGGTCTTCTCATAGAAGACCAGGAGGTCGGTCTTCTCATAGAAGACCAGGAGGTCGGTCTTCTCATAGAAGACCAGGAGGTCGGTCTTCTCATAGAAGACCAGGAGGTCGGTCTTCTCATAGAAGACCAGGCGTTAGGTCTTCTCATAGAAGACCAGGCATTCGGTCTTCTCATAGAAGACCAGGCATTCGGTCTTCTCATAGAAGACCAGGAGTTCGGTCTTCTCATAGAAGACCAGGAGTTCGGTCTTCTCATAGAGGACCAGGAGTTCGGTCTTCTCATAGAGGACCAGGAGTTCGGTCTTCTCACGAAGGGCCAGACAAAGGAAGGCCAGAAGGTCATTTCATTGAAGACCAAAAGGTTTTCTTTTAGTCTCCTGGTCTTCTATGAAGACACCTCCTAGTTTTCTATGAAGTCCAGTCCCATAGAAGCCCAGGAGGTCTTTTCACTGAACATTAGATAGTCTCATCATAGTCCTCACATGGAAGCCCAATCCAGACCCTCCGGCACACTAACTACGTCGGCGAGAAGAACAAATGATGGGAAACCAGATGCTTTTTTCTTAGAATACTGTCATAAAAGTCCTGCAGATTTTTCGACCAGAAATTTTTCTCCTTCTTAACCAAAAAGTCTCTCACCAGAAGATCAGTTGCAAATTTACCAAAAGGGCGGCTTGGACAAAGCCAAATATTATGGCTCAAATTGTCCTTAAAAGTCCAAGACTAAACATGGAATGTTAATGAGTCCATAAATATCGAAAATACACTTCAGTATTGAAGCTGATTCACCATATAAGAAACAAAAAAATAAAGATTCTTAACCTATCTAAAATATTCTTTAAAAAATGCACGAGGATAGCTGTTATGGTCCCTTCAAAAAAAGTGTTTTCAAATTCCAGGATTATGGCTGAGACAGACCTTTCGAAAAATGTTTTAAAGCTCCACAGTTACAAGTCCCGAAAAAATGCTTAAGGGACAACCTATTAATCAATTTTAAAACCTAACGGAATAAGCCTTATAAGCACTTTTTAAAAAATCAATTTAAATCCCATGATAGAAGACCCTTTGAGAACTATAGAAAATGTAGAAACATTACACGCAACCTTGGACTCCTTGAAGTATTTTCAGCTGAAGTTCGACAAATACTTCAAATAATCCACGCTTTTAAACTTCAGAGGATCTCTGAAAACTTCTTCAAAAATCGCAGAACTCTAGGAAAATTAAAAAAAAATCAGTTCATGTAACGGTTTAAGATACCATAAATATTCTTTCATAGCCACGCTGTAGAATATTTAAAAATGCTTTAGATTACTTAACTATTTTATAAAAAAAAAACTTCATTTACATTTCTAGTTTTGTACGTCATTAAATTGCATTTTTAATAAATATTTATAAATTTTTCCAAAAAAAAAATAAATTTTATAATCAATCTCTTAAAAATATATACAATTTTGTTTTTATAAAAATAATAGTAATAAAGTGTAAAAAATTTTAAAAACTATTCACAATTAAAAATTTTCACTGGTTAAGAAGTAAATATTTCTGAGACGTAGAAATAAAACATTCCAAACTATCACAACAAAATGGGGGAGGGGGGTTATGATTCTTCCAAGTTTATGTCAATCTCTTGAGCATTTGTCCCATGCATAGGGCCGCATGTTGTTTCTGAAACATTAGGGCAAATGTTTGGGGATTAAATTGCATTGGCTGTGCTCCAAATATGAATCTGGGTGGTGGTGGTGGTGCAAGGGATGGAGATGTTACGCCCATGGGAACCGATGTTGGTTGTGGGATGGGTGATGTGATTGCAAATCTCTTGCCATTTTGAATTTCTTCATCATTATCTACTACATCTTGATGTTTCCTTTTGCGTGGTGTATTATCACCCAGAGCATAGGGCCTAAAAATGTCAGCAGAGCAGGATTTTTTAATGGTGGTGCTGGCAATAGACTCATCCTTGTTGCTTTGGAATTTAAGCTCTGTCTCCTGACATCCTTCTGGGTAGCTGTTTACTATCGCTGGTGGTGATGGAGTCCTGGTACCAAATTTCTTGTGGGCATAACGATTGCCCTGAAACTTTTTGTGGCTATATCTGGTTGCACTTTCCGCTTGTTCCAATCTTTGTGCCGGGGCCATTTTAATTTTTATATTTTATATACAATTAACTATTTTTACTTTTCACTTGTTTCACACCAGCTAAGGCCGTTGGTGATCTTTACTCATTGATGTCTTACGTGAATCTGTTACCTTTTTCCAGATTATCTTAGGTTTATATAAGACACCTACATTGTTGTCGCTCAGTCAGGCGCTCGTTCAATCATATTTGATGACCTGTGTGTAATTTCCCCTTTCTTCCATTCAGGTACAAGGTGTCTAAGAGCGGTCATACATGACCATCAATAAATTATCATTAACTATAACATTTATGACATCTACGCGCAACCCATGCAGGTTGGTTATCACTGGCCAGGTCGATTGATACTGGCCAAAGGAAATATCTAGTCAATTGGTTTTGTTCCCAACAACGAGTGTCATAAAAAGGGATTTAATTTCAATGCACCGGCAAATGTGTCAAATGCATTGTCAAGTATCTAAAAAGACATCGACTTCGATTCAATTTAGATACCTGCGGGAGATCATTTCTTGAGTGTTTCCAGAACATTTGTCTCTTCACAACTAAATACTACACTTTAAATGAGAGCTCATGACTTTTTCCCCGTTTATTTCTTTCAACAATTTTACCTGGCACCGGGATTGTTTTGCCTGTCGCCCGAATGGTTATTGAGTTCCAGGAGCATTGTGCACAAAAGGTGTTGGCCCAAAAAGCGAACCTTTTACCCAACAATGAAAACCAATTAATTTTTCATTTGTCTGGGTTCATTTAGTTTGGTTTTGTTGATAATCCTCTTTTGGAAAATGCAGCAGTTGTTGTTGTTTCGTTTTAATTAAACTGGAAAATTGTATACATTGACAAGCGCTCTGGGGGAGGAAAAATGAAATGGGAATTATCTTTAATTCAAACAATGATAAGGGAACACACAAAACCGCTTTAACCGGTTATATGAAAATCCAATAAATTTTATTCGAATGGCTTAATGTAATCCTTTCAAATCTATGATAGCTTGTCTGTTGGGATAGTCCTCATAACTTCAGCTCACAATTTATCAAATCCATTAGAATTGATTCAGTTTATTATTTAATAAAGGGTAGAAGTTGATTCATCATTGATTTACAGAATTTCTTAATTTTTTTCTTAATACTTTTTTCCTGCAAGTGTTACAGCAATGTTTACAAAAAGTACTTCTATAAAAATAAATTTGAGCAGATTCCCACAGGGGACGAAGGATCGGTATAAATGGTTCTAAATTTTTAAAGTTGTTCAAAAACATTTATTTTGATTTAAAATAAAGTTTCTGTCAGTCAACTGATTTATTATAACCTCAACCTATGGCTAGGTTATATATCATTTGATACGGCCAAAACTTGCCTCATCGAAATAACGATTTTAAACCCTAGTTCTCTTTGGACCAATCCGTCTCAGGACATTTGGAGTCGATCTAGCGATGTCCGTCTGTCTATCTGGCTGGCTGGTGCCCATGATAATTCTCGAAGAAAGTATCCAATTTGATCCAAACTTGGTATATCGTAATATTATTATCAAACTTAGGTCGAGTTCGGCAATGGGCAATATCGGAAAAGGTCGGAATTTTCAAAGAAAATATTTTACTGCACAGAAAGAGAAAGGATAATCCTATTTTGTTCCAACTTTGCGAATTCTAATATTTGCATCAGTGCTAGATCAGGTGCGAAAATGGACAAGATCGGTCCACTCCATCAAGTATCTCCCTCACAAAGGGTCAAAATTTTGAATAATTATAATTATTATAAATTTTGATGTAAGTGTCCCATTCTCTCCAAGTTACACGGATCACAATATTTTTAATAACCCAAGGTCTGGTGTGAAGATTGAGTATATCGGTCCATTTCTTCTGGTACATCCCCCACAAAGGGTCAACGTTTTAAATACCAATGAAGCTCTTAAAAGGCAAAATTACCATCCGATATCATTCAGACTTGGCAAGGCTTAATATTTATATCAACTCAAGATCAGGTAGAGATCGGACCATTTCTTCTGGTACCTCCCCCACAAAGGGTCAAAGTTTTGAATAACTTAAACAATTCATATTTCACACATGCCATTATTTTTACTATCACAAAACATGCTGTGAAAATGGGAGATCGGACCATTTCTTCTAGTACTTCCCCCACAAAGGGTTCAAAATTTAGAAAGGGTAGAGATCGAAACATTCCTTCTGGTACCTCCCCACAAAGGGTTAAACTTTTGAATAACCAAAACAATTATAAAATCCGAAATAAGCCTCCGGTTCTCCTCATTTCATATTGGCTACTGATTGATAACAGTGAAAAATATTTCCAAGTAAATTAGATTTCTCATAATGTTCTTTATGTTCTACAATCCAAGGGAAGGTTTTAGGGCTATGCACCCTGATGATTCAAGGACCTTAGGACAAATGACGATTAATTTTGGGACTATCTCCCATGAATCAGAGAGAGACTATTCCATTTCTTCGGTAGGCAAGGCTAAATGCTTAAAATGATTAATACATCTCCTATTTCCTAAGCCTAGTTTGAAGCCGTAGTTTGAAAATGTTAGAATAATTTGCTTCTGTGCTACGATTGCAGAAAAATACAATTCTTCTAGAAAACATCCATAATTTTCATTTAAATTCCTGTAAGTTCCTCACATATTCCACAGTTACTTTCATATTTTAAGAGGAGATTTTGTCGCGAAGATGGTTTTGGAATCTGGCCAAAGGTGTTGGGAAAAGTGGCTTCCTCAAGAAAATAGTTTATTTCGTTGGAACAAGGACAACAAGAGCCTCACAATATTTTGGGACCATATTGTCTTGGGTGGTCTGAAACACAATTAAAATAATGCATTACTACTTTCAAAACATAGGAGACCCAAACCTCTGGAACTGTGGACTTCCGCAAATAAAATCGACCATTGTTGTATAGAGGGTCCTAAAGTCAGATTTACCAACTTTTTTTTAAATGATACGGGAGGTGCCTCAAACTTGACTCGAGATCCAAACCTCTATTTATTGTACCATGCCTTCACTAAAGTGAGCGTGTACTTGATTTGACATACCTTGATTTAACAGAATATACATACCTTTACGCCAAAAAAGGATTTGAGCCCCCGTTTTGATTTCTTATGAACTCTAAATTTGTCTCCATTATGGAACTAGAAAAGAATGTAGATACGACTATGCATATATATTTCCTTCAGAGCTGATTATAACAATTAAACTTTTGACATCGCTTCCAGGATAGGACAAAGAAATAGGACAGAAATAAACAATATATGGCTTACCTTATGAAATTCCTTGCAATTTTCATCTACAATAATGTCTTCTTATAGTTTTACACTTTATGTTTTTCTTAATTGTTATTTATATATTTATTATAAGTTTCAGAACAATAAAATTCACAAAAAGTCCACCTTTTATCACTTTTATTTCTTTCTTTTGATTGTTTGATTGATTTATTTGACAAACATTTGACATTTTTGGCAAAGAGGGAGTGTTTGTTTACTTTCAACTGATCAAATTGCTAGGCCCAGTTTTTACAACTGCCGTTAAATTGAACTATGCAAAAGTACTTGTCATTTAAAACGGAGTTCGCTAAACTGTCCCTTAATGGCTAGTGAGCGCAAGAGAATTGTCAACATAAACAAAAAAGAGAGAATATGCAATGCAACGAATGAGAATTGGAAAGTAGTGTGAACAAAATAAGATAGGAAGGATAATAATTTTAATGCAAACAATTAAGAAAAATAAAACTTTTCTAGAAAATAATAATAATTGGCGAAAAATTAGAATAAACCTAAAAGTAAAGCAATATTTGCGCATTTGTGTAGCACATTTGAAAAGAGGGTGAGTATATGACTATGAAAGGAGATCAAGTGTCAAAAGGAATGTTGTGATGGCTTCTTTGGGTAATCCAACAAGAAAATCTAAGATTTCAGAAACTATAAGAAACATTAATAATTGTTAGTAAAAATTCAAAAATGTTGATGATTTAGAAATTGTTCGGCTACATGGCTATTTGAGTGGTAAATCTTGTGTTCTAATTTTTATATTTCTTATTTTCAATATTCCAATTGTTATCTCCAATCATCTCCCTGGTATTTATTATTCAAAGAGCCTGTAGCCAAACAATTCCAAATTTACAATCATTTTCAAATAAGGCAATCTATTTTTACAATAATTTCAGGAATTTCGATTATCCTTGCTAATGGAAAATGCTATTATACCAAACGTCGATGCCATATACTCTGGAGTATACCTCCACAACAGATGTAATCTTTTGCAATGAATGAATAACAAATCATAAGGAGATACTTAAAGGTCCTGGGATACCCCACTAATAAAAGATAACTCCAAAGTCCAAGCATTGTAAATTTAATTGTACAAAATGGCACCTGCCCTGAGCATACATTTAGCACAACAACATGATAGCAACAGCCAGCATACACGAATCCAGAGAAATCGTTATACGCACAAGAAATATGGAGCACGGTGTCCCGAAATATACTTTCCCAATGAAACTACCAAAGAACAAGAAACACCACAGCTTAGCAGTCCAGTGCAAAAAACAACCATCAATGTCAAACGATCCGGTGAGATATTTAGACCCTATGCCCTTGAAGACAAGACAACACCACGTAAACGTAAACATCAGGAATTAAACGATGATGAAGATGGTAAAACTAAAATGGAAGAATGTAAAAGATTTGCTCCAGCTATTACTACTCTAACCGATGATATTGGCTATTTCACACCATGTTATATGTTTCCATCACCACCAATAGCTCCTCCGGCAAGTTTTCATTGGTCTCAACTGGAAATGAATCATGCGATTTTAACCGAGATTTTGCAAAAACAACATGCCGCCATGTATATGGGTGAAATTTTAAAAAGAATGACTTTGGGTTGAATTTTTGTTTGAAGAAGTGGAATGGATATTTAGAAAATTGTGATAAATTGAAATTTTTAAAAAGAAAGAATTGAGGGTTGAATTAATTTGAAGACAGTATATTTAATTGTGATAAATGGAAAAGTTGGGTTCAGTTTATTGGGGTTGATATGAGAAAGATATGCTGTTAAGCCCTATCTTTATAAGAAATGTTTCAATTGAGGGTAAATAGTGTAATCGAATCAAATCGACACCTATAAACTGTTCCTTAAAATGTGTATTGTAATATTATCTTTATAATTTTGAACTACACTTTAAGTGATTTTAAATCTATGTAATAATTTTTGCCTTTTTAATCTTAAATTGTAAATTTTTGTTAAAATGGATTTTTATTTTATAATTGTGTGAATATTTATTTAATGGCAATTTTATTATTGACGAAATAAAGAAATAAAAGAAATACTAGAAGGTTCTTATTTGTAACTTTTTTTCAGAAATTTAGAATCGTGGATTTTTAAAGGAATATTGTGGATAATCATTCCTGAAATTCCTCAGAGCCATAATATCAAACTTTAATAAAATATTTCTACATATCTGTATTAGAATCGTAGATTTTTTTGAAAAAGTCCTCTAGTGTAATAATCTTCGAGTATTACCGAGTTTAAAGATGTTTCCTAAGAAATATTTAAATTTTAATCGTGAAATTTTCTAAATGGCTATTGATTCAAAAAGACAAAAATTAGTTTTTCAAGTAAAACGTTCTGAAAGTATCAAAAAAAAAAAACTGACTATTTCGTGGGGTGCGGGCCATCCCCTGGCTATGTCGGTAAATTAAGCCATGTCTGTCTGTTGAAAACATGATAAATCCAGTAAGGAAAAGTCAAAAGTCGACCACTATGCATATTTAGTAGAGCTCCCATAACAAAAGAATTAATTTGTAGTAGATCATACCACCTATCAACATTTGACTCTACAGCAGTTCTAGTTTGCTATGGAGTGCATAATATCACTTGGAGAAGGATTATAAAAATATATATCGGAGCTGAGTTGCACAAATGGAAATGGAAATATTAGCCATTATTTGCACAATAAACCTGAAATCGGATTAGGGAGATATATATGGGAGAAGTATCCAAATCTGAACCGATCTTGACAAAATTTGATACACTTATTTAAGAGCTGTATCTGATATCTGGTACCAAAGATCATTGTTGTGGAATTCATATTACTCTGGGGAGGGGCTTTAAACTCCAAATCGGATGAAACAAATATATAGGAGCTATAGCTATATCTGAACCGATTTCCTCCAAATTTGATATAATTGCTTCTAGACTGAATTCGGTCGGTTTTACAAAAATTCAGGACTTTTGCACTAATATTGGCCATTATTTGCACAATAAACCTGAAATCGGGTTAAGGATATATATGGGAGATATATCCAAATCTGAACCGATCTGGATAAAATTGGTAGAGGTATTTCCGAGCTCTGTAAGATATCTGGTACTAAATTTCATTATTCTAGAGTGCATATTGGCCATTTGGTGCACATTAACCCGAAATCGGTTGAGGATATATAAGGCAGCTATATTTAAATCTGATCCGATTATCACCAAATTCAAAAGGGGTTGTCCGTGTTTGCAAAATTTCATCTCACTCGGATAATAAATGAGACCTGAATTTTGTTAACAAGAATACATGGACGGACGGACGGAGAGACGGACTGGCATGCATAAATCGACTCAGAATGTGATTCTATGAAGATCCTCCAAAGTGGTTACCGCTCGCTTCCCTCTCCATGTTAAAAACAAGGTAAAAAGCTTCGGAAGGGCCGAACTTCGAATATCCTCCACCATTTGGAACGAATTTGGCAATTCTCAAAAACCATAAAATCCCTTAAAAATTCTGTTAAAATCTTAAAAATACCGAATGTAGCTGTTATATAGGATCAATACGACGACATGTATCTACATAGGTAACTTTTGTCATAAGCCACAATAATATCCAAATGCGAAACTAAAAATAATGAATAATGAAGCTAAAATCATTAAAATTCCGAATATAGGGAGGTACTATTATAAGGGAGGCTATACGAAGACGTGGACATGCACAGACAATTTTCTCTCATAGGCTGTGATATCCGTTACGAACTTCAAATAACAAATTTGAAAAAATTCCGGTGAATAATGCCACTGAAATCATCATCGTTATATGTGGGCTATACCAAAACGTGGACCTACATTGACCATTTTCAATACCAAAAGTCTTGCAGACGTAATAAACATTTGAGTAAAATTTTATCAATCTACTTCGTTTCGTTCGGAAGCTAGAGTGATTTTCACAGACGGACGGACATCGCTAAATCGAAATAGAATTTTATGCTGATCAAGAATATATATATATATATACTTTGTGGGTTCCAAAATGTATATTTCAAGGTGTAACAAAGGTAATGACAAACTTAATATACCCTCCACACTATGGTGGAGGGTTAAACAAATGCACAAAGACTAATACCCTTACTGATGTAGGGTGGTATAAATATCACCGTTCGTTACATGATTGGTTTTGAAATGGAATACATCAGTCCAAGATTAGGTATTGCTCCATATATCTATATCTCTTAATTTTCCGTATTGTGGAGTTTTTTTTTTTTTCCCAATTTCCAAATAAATCATCTGTCATTTGGCATTACGTATTTTCAATGGGCTTTTGAATTCTTGGGAGAAAAATAGTATTTTTAGATTAACTTTTCATATTGCGATTCCTCCGGATATTCGGTAGGTTTGAAAGTTTTGGTCTCAATTCTCTATCAAATCAGTTGTAATTTTACATTTTGGGCTTTTGATGGGTGATTACACTTTTCGCAAGAATATTAAATATAGGTCTGCCACCATTTGATTTTCGGTATTTTGAAGGTTTCGGTCCCAAATTTCAAAACAGCTGCTATCAAAACAGCTGCAATTTAATATTTCAGTCCTTGTGGGTATATTAACACCCCCACCTATATTTACTGCGACTTTCATATTTTAGGGATATTAGGCAGGCTTTAAGTCCAGACTGAACGCCGATTTTTCTAGTTGGATTTTAATATCCTTTGTATTTCCATTTTAACACTTCCCTATGGTTATCGTATACCAAAAATAAAATACATATTCCATATGACTTTATAATCAGACAAACATTTTATTATGTTATATCTTCTTTATTATAATATAAAATCAGTTGTACGGGAAACTAAGAAAGATTGGAAACAGTAAATCAATCAAAAATTCGTAATACAATACTTTGAAATTAGAATAGAACAAATGGTTGTATCAAGGACTCACAGGGATATGAGTCACATGTAACTGGAATTCCGAAAGATACGAACATCTTGCGAAACGAACCAAGATGTCTGATAAACAAAAAACTACGGCATTAAATACAATTAAAAAACAAAGAGTGAAACGCAATTGGAAAACAAAAACAAAAATACTGCGAAAGAATTAGTTAAAAAAAAGAAAGACAAGTTAATATACGACATAACTTTGCTTAAAATCTACCAATATTTTTTTTTTCTTTTTCATTTTTTGTGATATTCGTGATTAAAACATTTGTTACTCTACTCGAGGAGTTGATTTTAAAAATGACTCATGACTTTCCTTCGAATGTAAAAAATTCGGCATTATTTATAATTTTTCAGATAGGCTTTTTATCCCAAAAAAAATCTATATTCTCTTTTTATTACAATTTCAAGAATAATGTTATTGGGCAGTGATCACTACCCATGCACTGGCTACGTATACAATTGTCCACGACTTTTTTGACAAAACGTTCCGACACAAGGAAGTAATCCAAACGCCAACCGACGTTGCGCGAACGAGCATTACCCATATACGTCCAGAATGTGTAGGCTCCTTTGCGATCGGGATACAAATGGCGGAAAGTGTCGATGTAGCCCAACGCCAGCAATTCAGACATTTTATCTCTTTCCTCTTTTGTGAAACCAGCATTGCGGGTATTGGTTTTGGGATTGGCCAAATCGATTTCCTGATGCGATACATTCATATCACCACATATTACCAATGGCTTGCGGGCATTGAGTTTTTCCACAAATTCCTGGAAAAGTTTCTCCCATTTCATGCGGGCATCCAAATTCACCAGTTTCCTACCCGAATTGGGTACATAGACATTGATCAAAAAGAATTTTTCATATTCCGCCGTGATAATACGTCCAGCATCATCAAATTCCTTGTTGCCAATACCATACTCCACATTGATGGGCATAATTTTGGAGTAAATGGCCACACCAGCATAACCACCCGGCATACACAGCCAATAGGGATGATAGCCCGGTATACGTTGCACCTCTTCGGGCAATTGATCTGTGGTGCATTTGGTCTCTTGCAAACAAAATATATCTGGTTCTTCGTATTCCAGGAATTTAAGACCCTCCTTCTTTAGCCACGACCTTAGGCCGGCAACATTCCAGCTGGATATTTTCAAATTAAAACGTGGCTCATCGCCAGCCGTTTGTCCTTCCGGCAATGGTGGCAAATCAAAGTCGGCCTTATTATAAGTTGTGCTGGTCGAGTTAAGTGGAGGTGAATCCTTTTTCTTTTTTGCTTTTGTGGCTGTAAAACAGGAAAATAAGAGCTTTTTCAGTTGCGTGCCGCACGTCATATCTAACTTACGTTTCGACCCATCTGCTTCGTCTTCATCCTCATCGTCACCAACATCTTTGTGATTACTGGCCACCGTGGCCTTGTCTTCATCAACATTTTTGTCATTTGTCTCAGCTTTGTTTGCATCGGCAGCTGTCTTTTTTGTTTTGTTAGTAGACGGTGCGGCACGTTTACGTCCACCACCACCACCTCGGCTAGTTGTGGGTTTCTCTGTAGTAGTTGTGGTTGTTTCTGAAATGTTTAGAAGAGATATAAAATTGTTAGGGAGAGATATTCTGAACTGTACTCATCCTAGCGTCTAGCCCCAAAGTCGGCAAAATAAATTTGGTTAGAATTCCAGATGGTCTTGGAGTGTTAACATTTTCCGATGAATTTAATAGAACTAGCAACAAAGAAGAAGGTACGCGTAGGTAGGGGTTTAAATAGATTTAAGTTCGATTGCCTCTAATGGTCGAGTTTTTAATAGATTTTAGACCTTTAAATTATCCTAAAAGAATCTCGAATGAAATTCTACAAAAGGTCCTCTATTAACAGGAGATCTTCAGAAGGTTTTCTAGAAACAGGAGACCTTTCGAAGATCTATCAACAGGAGACCTTCAAAAAGCCTTTTATCTACAAGAGAACAAAAGTCCTCTACCTACAGGAGACCTTCCAAAGGTCTTCTATCAATAGGAAACTTTCAGAAGATCTTCTATATATAGGAGACCTTCAGAAGGTCTTTTATCTATAGAAAAATTCAGAAGGTCTTCTATCCATAGGAGACCTTCAGAAGGTCTTCTATTTATAGGAGACCTTCAGAAGGTCTTTTTATAGGAGACCTTCAGAAGGTCTTCTATCTATAGGAGACCTTCAGAAGGTCTTCTATCTATATGAGACCTCCAGAAGGTCTTCTATCTATATGAGACCTCCAGAAGGACTTCTATCTATAGGAGACCTTCAGAAGGTCTTCTATCTATAGGAGACCTTCAGAAGGTCTTCTATCTCTAGGAGACCTTCAGAAGGTCTTATATCTATAGGAGACCTTCAGAAGGTCTTCTATCTATAGGAGACCTTCAGAAGGTCTTCTATCTATAGGAGACCTTCAGAAGGTCTTCTATCTATAGAAGACCTTCAGAAGGTCTTCTATCTATAGGAGACCTTCAGAAGGTCTTCTATCTATAAGAGACCTTCTGAAGGTCTTCTATCTATAGGAGACCTTCTGAAGGTCTTCTATCTATAGGAGACCTTCTGAAGGTCTTCTATCTGTAGGAGACCTTCTGAAGGTCTTCTATCTATAGGAGACCTTATGAAGGTCTTCTATCTATAAGAGACCTTCTGAAGGTCTTCTATCTATAGGAGACCTTCTGAAGGTCTTCTATCAATAGGAGACCTTCAGATGATATTCCATTAATAGGAGACCTTCAGAAGGTCTTCTATTAATAGGAGACCTTCAGAAGGTCTTCTATTAATAGGAGACCTTCAGAAAGTCTTCTATCTATAGGAGGCCTTCAGAAGGTCTTCTACCTATAGACGACTTTCAGAGGTCTTCTGTCTATAGGAGACCTTCTGAAGGTCTTCTATCAATAGGACACCTTCTGAAGGTCTTCTATCAATAGGAGACCTTCAGATGATATTCTAGTAATAGGAGACCTTCAGAAGGTCTTCTATTAATAGGAGACCTTCAGAAGGTCTTCTAGTAATAGGAGACCTTCAGAAGGTCTTCTATTAATAGGAGACCTTCAGAAGGTCTTCTATTAATAGGAGACCTTCAGAAAGTCTTCTATCTATAGGAGGCCTTCAGAAGGTCTTCTACCTATAGACGACTTTCAGAGGTATTCTATCTATAGGAGACCTTCAGAAGGTCTTCTATCTATAGGAGATATTCAGAAAGTCTTCTATCTATAGGAGGCCTTCAGAAGGTCTTCTACCTATAGGGGAACTATAGCAGACCTTTTTAAGGTTTTCTGTCTGAAGAAGACTTTCAGGAAGTCAGATATCCTTAAAAGTTCTATTAAGGGATCTTCTATTTATATAACTCTATAATATTTTAGAGAATTTCCGGAGGACCTTCCACCTCAAGATTGAAAACCTCAGAAGATCTCCCTTCTGCTGGATACATACTGGATTTTTCCTATAAATACAAATGCTTATATAGTTAATCTACATCTATTCAGGTCAGAAATACCTAACATCCATCTTAGCTTCCTACCAATATACGTGGCAAAATCTGTATCAGTTTGTTTATAAACAAAAACCCACCACACATTCGCACACCGCACACTTGGCTTGATTTGCAAATATAGTATACACAATAAATGGCGATGGAGATGTATGTATTGCATTTCATCCATTAATACCTACATAATTGATAAATACATTTTTACAATTAATATGAATTTCCCTTACCTTCTGTCACCTCTGCTGTGGCTTCCTCTTTCACTTGTTTTGTCTCGACAACAGGCTCTTCCTCCTCTTCCACTGCCTTATCGGCTGCCTTTCTTTTGCCACCTCTGCCCTTTTTGGGTTTTTCGGCTTCAGTCTTTATTTCTTTTTCTACGCTAGGCTCTTTACGACCACGCTCTGTGAATTAAATAACACTAAAATTATTTGCTTGTGACACATCGAGAGAGATCAATTACTTTTAGGAATAGCAGCTTCCACCGGCGCTTCTCCATTTTCTTGAGGTGTTTCAGCGGCAGCTTCTTCAGTCTTGCTATTTTTTGTTGCTTTACCCGAACCTCTTGCCTTCTTGGGAGGAACTTTTTCCACTTCTTCCTTTTCCTTGGCGCCACTGTCTTTGGCACCCCGCTTGGTGGCTTTCTTGGCAGGCAGTACAATTTCTGATGCCTCAGAACTGTTTTCCACCACAACTGGCTCTTTTGCAGCGGACTTTTTAGATGCTGCTGCTCTTCCTTTCTTCTTGGGTGGCTCTGGCTCATCAGCTTGCTCCTCTAAAAGGGAAAAAATAATTATTTAGCTCACACATTTGAAAAATATTTCTTAAAATCTACCTTTCACTGGAACTGGCTCGGGTTCTGTCTTTTCTTCAACCTTCTTTTTGCGACCACCCGCTTTAGCCTTGCTAACTTTTGTAGCCGGTTCTTCAGCAACTGCAGCCACCACCTCTTCTACAGCTTCGTCTTTACTAGCCTTGGCAGTTTTCTTACCACCTCGACCCTTTGCTTTGGCCACAACTTTCTCCTCCTTTTCTGTATCCTTGATATCAGATACACCGTTTGAGGCTTGATCGCCATTTTCAACAACTGCTGGTGCTGACGCTTTGGCACCACGCTTACCTCCTCTACCACCTTTAGCTTTATTTGTCGTCACAGCTTCTTCCTTAGGTTCTGATTCTGTGTCCAACTCCACATCACCATTGCTGGCTTTTTCGACAACGTTATCGGTCTCTTTGCCCGTAACCTCAACATCGTCTTCAGCTGCCGCTTTCTTCCCACCTCTGCCCCTAGAAGCTGTAGCCTTTTTAGCCGGCTTTTCCTCCTTTTCAACTTTTACCTTTTCCGCTTTCTTGCCACGGCCTACTGTTTTGCCATTGCTGGCTTTGGTTGCAATTGCTGGTTCTACATCATCATTGTCCTCCTCATTGTTGTTGATGGTGGCAACGTCATTTGTATTGTTAGTAGCATCAATTTTGTCTTTTCTGTCTTCTTTAGTCAAGGCATCAAACAACTCTTCAGCGTTACTTAGCGTCTTAGTTGCCTCGGATGTTGTGTCCTTTTTTGCTTTTCCTTTTGTTGCTCTGGGCATTTTTTTTGAATCAAAAAATTTTTTGCAATGCAAAACACAATTTGACTTTAAATTTACAAAATAATTCCGGTTGTACAAAATTGTTTCCTCAATCGTAGGCCGCAGACCGATTTTGCAAGACGCTGAAAATGAAGCTAAAGAGGATGTGTGTTCGTTTGCGAGCTAGATGTGATGTATACAAAAAATATTTTTGCAGTTCTTTTTCGCGCCCATTCACTTGAAACTTAATCAACCCTATTCGTGAAGTTCATTGCCAAGCAAAAGGTGTTCAACGGCGGTAGAGAAGAAGAGAGAACTTTTATGGCGGCGACAAGTCAGTAAATCACTGAAAAATGATAAATATAACTTTACTTGTAACGGAAATGGAAAAATAAATCAATAAAAAGTGAAAAATTAAATGGAAAATTGCAAAAAATTATAATAAGTACTCTAATTCATACCTCAATTATTTAATTTCATTTGGTCAGCTGATCAAATACAATTATCGTGTTCGACTAAGTACTCGTGTTATCATTTTCAGTGCATGCCATATCTAATGCGAAATAAGAAGAAGAGCAAATAAAAAAGGAATTGATTTCTACTCTGGGTTCTCTTCAGTTGTCAACAGAATTCATTTATTCCATGAATTCAATGGAACGCGCTTAAATATATAATAAAATACGAATAGCTAACAAAATTGGCATAAAAGTGAGTTAAATAATATGGAATTGCCCCAAAACTCCTTAGTTTCGTGGAATAAATAACAAATCAAACAAAAAAAGTCATTTAAATTCATTTGAAAGTCTCTCTCTCCCTTGTGTTCAGTTATCAATTGAGTGAAGTGAGTGTCACAAAAAAGGCGGGAAATTGTTGTGAAGCTTCAGTTAGTTGCTGCTTTCGTTTGTTAAAATTGTGATTGTATTTAAAGAAATTAATTAATAATCGGCTTCAGGCCTGTCTTTCGAAAATATTACAAAAAAATAAGGCCCAATAAGAATATCTCCAATAAGAAAAATCGAGTAAAAATGGCATCTTATCAGTTTATTGTGTCTAATGGTAGTAAATTGTTTAAAAGCCTCTGTGTGTCAAAATGGTTAAAAAATAAATGCATCAACAAATTAAAATCATTAAGGTTTCAGCTCTACAGCTTAAAAAATTACAAGAATAGTTTAAGAAAAATCCTGGCACCTCAACGTAAATCGCCAATAATCCTAAAGAAATTGTGGTGTCTTGTGAGTGAAAGTGTGTGTGGCAGTCAAAATGTTCGGGAAATTATTTAAAAGCCTCTCTGTGTCATATAAAAGAAATTCGTCAAAAAATTAAGATTTTTTAAGTTTTAGCCCTTCATATTAAAAAATAATAAAAAAAAGTGTTTCTATTCAAAAGTGGCAATTTTAGAAATCTAATAAGAAAATCCTGTGTTCTCGACACAAATTGCCAAGAATCCCAAAGAAATTGTGGTTTCATATCAGTGAAGTGTGTCGGTATCAGAGTAAAATTTCGGGAAACATCAAAAATCGCGTACGTGTCCTTCAAAGGGTGTCTTAAAATTAATAAAGTTGTATATCTTCTCATCTCATGAGGCTTTTGAAAGGCTTTTGAAATTGAATTAAAAATCATAATTTCCACAAATTTCCACTGCATACAAACTTGTGATTGCAAATTCAAAGTTGGACAACATGAAATCTTCGTTTGGCTGGATAACAGGGCTCTCAAGGGTAAGTCCATAAAATATTTTTCTGGGTTTCCGACCTTTTTGACTGTTAATAAAAACAATTGTTTGAGCTCGAGGTCAAACAATGGTTTTTATTAACAAAAACAATAATTTTTATCTTATGGCTTCGGGCGATGAAGTTTATGACGAAAAAGGTATTTTCTTTCCAAAAATATTTGCAGAAATCCAAATAATCTTCCTCTTCGCACGTCAGAATGATGTCTACAACAGCTAAAAATGATGTAAGTTCGACCGGGCCGAACTTTGAATACTCTCCACCATTTGGAACGAATTTGGCAAAAATCTTGAAAAAGCCGAATGTAGCTATTATATTAGGGTATATACGACTACATGGACCTGCATAGGTTACTTTTGTCATAAGCCATTACAATATTCAAATGCGAAACTTAAAAAAAAGGTGAATATTGTAGCTAAAATCATAAAAATGTCGAATATCGGGAGGTACCGTTATATCGGGGCTATACGAAGACGTGGACCTGCACAGACAATTTTTTGTCTTAGGCTGTAGTATTCATTTCTAACTTCAAATACCAAATTATTATGAACATTTCGAGGAGTTACAAACGGAATGACAAAGCTAATATACCCTGCATAGAATAGTGGAGGGGGCTCAGGGGGAATTGGATTTTGTATTTTTGTAATCTAATTGGAGACAAGAAGTAGAACACAAATTATTCATTAATGATGTCTCATCATAGTAATATCCAATTAGTCAATCATATTGAAGATATATTTTTATTATCTTTGAACATAAATTATTTTCATAATGTAATCCGTTTCAAAGATGACGATTTGTTTGGATAAAAAGTCAAACGGTTTTTGTTTCATTGAAATAATCGGAATATATTGCCTAAAAATACCAACAAAATCCAAACACTCTTTATTAAGTAACCAAAAAAACTCCTCTTTAAAAATACCACCAATCTTTTCAGACCAATAAATCCTGTTCAATATAACAAACACAGTTTTTTTTTACTTCAACTTTTTATTTATCATAAATTCATGTGTTCTTAAAATTAACTATTAGAACTCAGTTTTTCATTAAAATACTAAAAAATATTTATATTACAGAAAATCCATAACATTTCCAATACCATCATCAATCAAATCATTGTTGGAATCCATCAAAAAAGTATCATCCCCGAAACCAACAATATCAAAATCCTGCGCCTCAATTTCATTTTGTGTTTCATTGGAGTTTTGTTCAAACGATTCTGCTTTTTGTTTACTTTTAGATTGATTCTTGGCTATGACTTTCTTTGAACTTTCTGGTTTGTATTCGTTGAAAATATTCATAAAATATTCAAAATCTGCAAATGCTTGTCTGCCTGTGTTGGATTCATTCACATCTGAGTCCGAGGTATTGGGTGGAGAAGACAAGAGCTTCATATCTTTTTCTGCAGATGACATTTCTTCATTGCTCAATTTGTTTGGATCAGCTGCTTTATCTTTTGATGTTTTTGGTGCAATATTTTCCTTGTTAGTTGCCATCCCTGATTCGGCTGGTTTTAGTACAATACACTCCAAAATATCCACTTTTGATTTGGAGCTGGGTTTGATATTGTCAGGTATAGCTGTTATCTTTCCATTTTTACCACCTTCTTCTCCTTCCTCCATGGGAGTTAACAAATCAATAACTGGAGTGTTTTCTTTTTTGTTTGTACCATCAGCTTTCTTAGGTGAATCGGCTTTGGTTATTGGTTTTTCAATGGTGGTATCTTGAGATTCATCGGAACTAGTTTCTGACACCGCCGAGTCACTATATTTATTAAATTCAAATTGTTCCTCCAACTGGACTTTGAAACGCACATGTTTAGTATGATTTGTGGTAATCGATTGATTTATTTCCATTGAATTATCCTGGCTATTGCGTAGAATAGACTTCACCGTAATATTTGTGGTATTTTCGATGACTGTTATTTCTGGTTTCACATCCGTTTTATTTATTTCCTGATTGAAATTACTTAGGATTTCATTGAAAGTTGGAAATTTGGGCATACCGCAATTGAAAGTTTTTATAACATCTGGCGTTACAAAATCAATAGAGCTTTGGTATGGCATTAGAAATTTAAAATTCTGAAAAGGGACGATTTGTTTTCAGAAAAGTAATAAGAGTAAACATTAGATGTAGGTACCTTGTTTTCAATGTCTTGAATTTGTTGATCCAAATCGGAATTTTTCTTTTTTAGAGCATCTAGTTTTGTACGATATTCCTGTACACTTTGGAGCTTTATGAGAATACATTGTTAATAGTTTTTGCATTAGATTTAATATGCAATATCTTACCTCTTTTCTCAGCTTATTAAGGTCACGCCAAGTCTCTGCCAACGATACAATTAGACACTGTCGTTTATCTTTGGCCTCTCTCACCTGCCTGCGGGCCTCATTGGCAGATTTATTACAGGCTGCTTTACAATTTTCCAAATTATTTTTACTGGTCTTCCAACCGGTTTCAACTTGTCGATATTTCTTTACAACATCACGTTCTTCCATTTTCTTGTGCCACTTTAACATGGACACTGTGCTGTCCTGTATTTTTTGCCATTCCTTGCGCCAGGTTTGTTCCATTTCCATATGTTTGCATTGTAAAATCTTGACATAGTCTATTTGTGATAGGGCATAACGGATATTGACACAACTTTCCATTAGCTGTTGATTGGTTTTTTCAATAACATCCCGGTCGGGTGAATTGTTCAGGGGCAACATAATAAGTTTCATATTGAAAAGTTCCATTTGAAGGCGTGTATGTTCACGTTCAGCTTCTAAGATTTAATTTAAAAATATATGGGAATTGTATTTATAATTTTAACTTTTCTATAAAATCCAGTCGAAAGCCGTTGAGTGCATGACGACTTTGGACATAACCTCACTCATTTTACCAACCTTCCGTTTCATTTTCCAAAGTTTTTTGCATATTCAACAAATTCTCTGTTTCCTTAAGTAATTCCTCAATTTCAGCATCCTCTTCGCATAAAGCTTGCACAATTCCCATAAATGTGCTTAAGTGACTCATTTTTTTCCTATGGCAAATTAGTTTTCCTTACTTTTATAAAAATTAGGCGTCTGAATGTAACGGCAAAAGGAAATGAATAAATTTAGTCGCTCTTCTTCTCTCGGCGCTCATAGTTATTCACTGTAGATTGATAACACAACATTGTGGCATGTATTTTTTGACAACTTGATATTTACAAGTTGTTTACACAGGGGAATTTGCAAAACGGAATCGAACGTTTTTAACGAAAAATGATATTTTCTTTAAGAAAATAGATAGCATTATCGTTTTTTACCGAAAAAGGAAAAAAATTCAATGAATTAAATGTTAAATTATTAGAAAATGTTTATCTTAAATATTTTTTTTTAGAAATATTGATTGACTGGGACTGCAGTAAAGGAAAGTCAGCTGATTTTTTCGTTGGTTTTTTTTTTTGTAGAAATACTTCTGAATTTAACTATCTGCACATCAATGAAAAGCTTTCTCTATAGAAAGTATCAGTTTGATGAGAAAAGTCTGCTGAAAAAAGACGTTTCCCTTAAACACAATGAAGTGAGTTTCATACCCATGGTAGAAGAATACAAGTAGTCGCATCGACACAGCTGCTGAGACGATGAACTGTCAAACCGATTTTGATATTGAAAATCGTAAATGAAAAGTTATTGAAATTTGTAAAAACTGTTGAAAAATACATATCATTACAACCTCCGATTTGCGTCGTATAAGAAAACATATAAAAATCGACTTATTTTTGACAAGGGTTGATGCATGGTACAATGAAGAAAAGGTAGGTCAACTTTGAAAAAATTGCAAGTATAGAGGTCTACCTGTTTGGCTTGTAATGTCAGAATTACTATCAAAACAATAAAAAAGCAAACAACTTGTTGCATTGATTTTGAATAAATAATTTAAAACCGCGAAAACTGAATGAATGGTCAAAATTTATTTTCAATATCATGTTCTATATATCTCTTATGGTTTATTTCTCGACAAAAACTGTAGATTTTGTCGATGCATTCGTTGCAATAAGCATTTTGAAAACACCCGAATTTGAATATTTTCTGAACAATTTTTTATTATTGAAAAGAAGACACACACATAAGCAAATGAAGTTGACATATTAAGCCAGAAAAATAAAAAAAAATTTAAATCATATGGTAGTTCTGCCCATGGTACAATGATATCAAGGTAGGGCTATGATACCATATGATTTCAATTTTTTTATTTTCTTGGCTTAATATGTCATCTTTATTTGTTTATGTATGTGTTTTCTTTTCAATAACAAAAAATTGTTCAGAAAACATTCAAATTCGGATGTTTTCAAAATGTTTATTTCATCGTTTGCATCGACAAAATCTAGAGTTTTTGTAGCGAAATAATCCTTTAGAGATATATAGAACCTGGTTTTGAAAAGAAGTGTTGACCTTTCATTCAGTTTTCGCGGTTTTCAATTATTTATTCAAAATAAATGCAACAAGTTGTTTGATTTTGTTATTGTTTTGATACTATTTCTGACATTACAAGCCAAACAGGTAGACCTCTATACTTGCAATTTTTTCAAAGTTGACCTACCTTCTCTTCATTGTACCATGGTTCTGCCCTACCTTGAATTCATTGTACCATGGATGCATCTACCTCTACCATGTTCATACCCTACACCACACATAAAAGCATTATGTCTTTGTGCATTTGGTTGTAACATGGAGAAGGACACTATATAGACCCATAGTTACTTTTAAGGATCTTCATAGAATCACTTTCTGAGTCAATTTAGTCCGTATGTCCGCCCGTGCGTCTGTCCATGTATTTTTGTGAACAAAATGCATGACGCATTTATTATCCGATTGAGATGTATTTTCCAAATAAAAATTGTTTGGCCCAAGGATGAACCCTACCGAAATTGGTGAGAATCGATTTCAAATATATATCTTCAACCGATTTCGGGTTAATTATGCACAAAATGGCTTATACCAGTCTAAATTTCCTGAATTTTGCCACATCCGATCGTAATGTTTTTTGTTACGGGAGCTCTACTAAATACGCGTTGTGGTGTAAGGTATCATATAGTCGACCCGCCCGTCTTTTGACCTTTCCTTACTTGTTTTTAAAAGGAAATTGGCTTTTATAAGAAAAAGATCCACCGAATCACCATAAGCAAGCAATTAAAGTTGTTTGTTGTGTTTACTTACCTCAATTCGATTAGTAATAACAACCATCAATTAAATTTATAATATTAACAAATTTTTTATTATAAAAAATTTATAACTAATTATAGACGATTTCATTCAGTACATATATGCATACATATTACATTCTATTTTCAATAATTTCTAATATTTTGTCATAGCTGAATCACTATCACTTAAAAACTATTATTATCAGGTATATGAATTTCACACGTTTTGATCTTGAGATAATACCCCATAAGCATTCTACTCTACGTAATTAAGTGGTAATCGATGTGAAGTGACAATGCTTTGGGTTGTGATGAATAAATGCCATATTTTTTGAAACTCATAAAAAATGAAGAAAAAAAACAGAATAAGAAATACACTTGAATATAGATATGAATTATAAGGGCCTTACAAGATAGGTGGCAATATTTAATTCGATTTACGTTTGATATGATCTATTTTATTGTGTTTCTAGATATGTTTTCAGTTTTTTCTTATGCAACTTGAAAAGTGAATAATTTTGGTTAGTTTTATGGGCTAGGTAAGTTTTAATTAAGGCCTTAAATTTATCAACTAAATTATTAAAATGAATTTATTTATGCAAACAATTTCATTCTTAAGGCACTTAATTTATTGTTTTTAAGATTTTCTAGCCTAAAGTGTAACATTTTAATAACTCCACTCCAAAAATATGAAAAATATTGAAGTTGACTTTTTATTCAAAATTTTCATTTACTTTTTCTTTGCGCAGTCCAATTCTCATGAATAGTATTTTTAATATGAAAAAGTTGATATTTGATTTCAAAATTCCACAAAAGCTATTTTTCACTATATTTGAGCCAAAACACAATCAGGGCATTGATTATCTAGGTATGTGAAGCTTTGGAAAAACAAATTATTTGCTTTAGACTACTGTTCCAGAACCTGCCAGAAACTACTAGTTTTTTCAAATTTCTTCGATATCATAAAGAGAAAATCGGTTATCGTAGTAAAAACACATTTAGATTCTTGCAGTTGTGGAACTGACATAGCCTTAAATAAATTCAAATCAAAACTAGATTCATGACATCTCGTAAAAATCTTAACGCGTTCATTATGTTTTGGCTTTTTTGTTCAGTTTTAAAGTCATTCCCCAAAAACATCTCAAATAACCGACAATTTAAAGCCATTCCTCATCCTTTTCTTATCACAGTATAATTCTATTACTTTTTTTAGCACCATGCAGTACACAGATCTCCATTTTTCTGATTTTTTTTCTCAGTCCCATCAGGAGCAATTCTTCTAAGTCGGGCAATTCTGTAATAATTTGATATTTTTCACTCAATACCAATTTGGATGCTGTGCAATTTTTGCCAAGATTCACAGGTGAAGTCTCTTTGTTAAAAAATATAAGTTGATAATCCGCACACACCATAAAACTTTTTAAAATTACATCGCGTTAAATGAAAAAAGATTCTCTATACGGTGGATTTATGAATATAAACTTTGACACCAAGATGTTGTCAAATGACTTTACCACCTTCTTAATTCTACCATGCAATTTCCTTCAAGCTGTCAACATTTTTGTTTAGGTTTTTATTCGGTTATTTTAAACTGCAATAAATTTTGACACTTTAGGCTAAATCAGATGTTTGCTGACCTTTATAGTGTAGTTTTCAAGATCCTGTATTTTCGAAGTCCCTCTTTGACTATTTTAATTTTTTTTCGATTCTTATTTATTTGCAATTTTTTTATTTTAATTTACGTATTTACAATGTCAGCACATTGACTTTATTTGCATAAATTAATTTGCATAAATTAATTAATGTTGTTGCAAAATGGTCTGGCTTTATCCCTTTATTGTTGTTTTTATAAAAACAACGTTTGTTTATTAGTGGAGAACGATGGTAATGTTTACCAGGGGGTAAGGCAGGGAATACCTAGGTTTCGGAAAGAGCCACCAATCCTCATCAGTTCCCTTGTTTTTGTCTGGGATATTCTCCCCAGAAGTTATTTTAAAAATAACTTCTATGACAAAAAACATTTTTTTACCCAAGTGACGAGATCGTAAGCTCAATAGAAGAGGAACCAAAGAATTAAATAAAACTAAAATTCTCTTGGAAAGTCTTCTAAATCTTACAACCGCACTTATAAACATTTACATCTTTCTCCACTTGTTATGCTTTCGTTCAGCCTGAACGTAGTAGCATAACCATGTAAGTTGGTTTTGTCTCCACTAATAAACAAACGTTGTTTTTATAAAAACAACAATAAAGGGATAAAGCCAGACCATTTTGCAACAACAAAATACTACGGTATCCCGAACAAACAAGCCACACTGTTCTATAAATTAATTAACGTTTTTTTTTTTTTGACTCATTACAGAAATGTTCACTTCACTTTTTTCGGTTTTTTTTTTCAAACTATCAAAATTTCCGTGTTTGTTTTCTCTTTCCGTTTACATTTTTTGTGATTATTTCAAGTTGCAGTGAATGTTGACACTTTGAGGGAAATCAGCTGTTATGTTTGTATGACCTCATTAACGGACTTTTGAATGTCACTGTTCTCTCAGATTCTCTCTCTTTGCCACTTTTTTCTATGCTAACGGATTTTTGTTGCTCATCATCGAATAGTCTAGTTGGAATATTTATTTTCTTTACACCCTAGTTTTGTTATTTTCCTTCTTAACTTCGCTTATTAGCGAATTTCACAGATTTACAATTTTTTTAGCTGAATTATCCACTTCGAAAATTGATTTTTATTTTATCTTATTCCTTTTAAGCTGCCAAGCTGCTTGTCTATGTTTTTGTACGATAATTTCCACAGAAAAATAAACATTGGCACTCTGAGGGAAATCAACTGTTATGTTTGCATGACCTCACATCTCGCTCTCTCTCTCTATTTCACACTTTCACTTTTTATCATCTAACGTATTTTTCCCACATTACAGAATTGCCCAATTGGGGGGATATCTCTTTTTTACAGTCTCTTTTAGTTTTCCCTCAGAATTGCTCTCTGGGAATATCTCTTTTTCACTCACAGTCTCTTTCTGTTGCACTCTTTCATGTTTTTTCTTTCTTTGCACTCTCTCACACCTACTCTATAAAAACGAACAACTCAAAATCAATATTAGCACCAATATCGGAAATATGGCATAGATTTCAGTACGCGGATGACATGTCGAGATCAAATAGGTAATGTCATCCTCTTCATGTTCGATACCGTCACGTGTTGGCACCTCAACAACAACTATCTCATCTGATAGGAATCCAATTGAAAACGTGCAATTCGTGGCATTGACACAACCCTGAGAATTACTAATGTTGGAATATTGAAATGTTGGCTTATAAATATCGAATATTGCATGAATATCGTTACGAACTAAATCGTTATCGCTGTAGAATATGTAATAGTAATAGCCGTCGGCATCGATCTCATGGATCGACAACATGCGATGTGAACCATTCTCCAGGAAATGGGGATTTGTGCACTCGGCAATGGGTGGGAAATTTCCAAAGGACAGCTTATTGGTTTTGAAACATTCCAAGAGGCCAGTTTCAAAACTCGATATCGAATTGGATTCATCGGTTTCGGTAAAGTTCATGGCATTACCGCCATGCGTGTATTTACGATCATAAACGTGATCACGTTTTCTGCGACTTTTAAAAAGTTTATCATAGATTTGTCGTTTGCGTCTTTCTCGCTCCGTATCTTCATCATGCCTGTGAGAATGTCCTGCCTCTGCATGCCCATGAGTCCTGTGGGAACGTCTTGATCTAATATTGGTTTCTTCGGGCTCCATGGTTTTGTGCTCCTCCTCTTTGGATACCAAACTATTGCCATTGTGTTCGGTAGTTTTATAGGTACCCTTTTTCAGTTTCTTCCCCCGGGGTTTGTGAGTGTGGGGAGCCTTGGTAGTGGTGGTTGTTGTACTACTGGTAGTGGTGGTGGTTGTACTTGTCGACTCATCCTCATCCAAATCATATTCATAATCCTCGGATAAATCCTCGCCACCATCATTTTCCATTTCCATGAGATTTTCCGGTACTGGGCCCTGGGGAGCAATTGCTGCCTCCGTTGTCTCACTCATGTTATTTGTGAGCGGTTCATGAATCTCTGTGATATCTTCAAAGAACACCTTGACCTGCTCATGATTTTGGGGATAATTTGGTCCCAGTTTATTTTTGTTATGATCCAACAGGCCACAGGTATCCAACTCTCGGGCCCCCTTTACCACCAACATCCGGGCACCCTCATAACGGGAACAAAATTTCAACAATACCCGGGCTCCTTTCAGCAAATAAAATCCCCAATATTCAAAGGTATCATCCGGCAATGTCATGGACTTCTTAAGCCTAATATGCTTGTGATTTGAGGATATTTCGGGTTTACTGCTCAACTGGAAGGCATTGAAGTTGCTGCTCATTTTCAACGAATGCTGTTGGCAAAATATCGAGGAGATGCCATCACGAATTTCAATGATATCCGATTCAGCCACCGGATAGACAACATCAGCAAAGACTGTTCTTCGCAGATACAGCGGGATGACAATCAGGGTGGCCGGCAGTATTACAATGAGGGTGCAGAAAATCAGGACCCTTTTGACGCCATTCATTTCGCGGTCCTCTGGAAAAGAGAGAAAACAGAAAATTATTTTAAATAAAATATCAATTTTTTATAAATCCCTCCCACCATCAAACCGATATTCGGTTGGTATTAGTTTATAATTCGGCAGGACTTGGGCCTCCATTTTCCCTCCACTTTTTCTCGCCAAATATCGAAACATAAAATTCGAAAATTATTCCAATATCGCAAAAATTTCAGACGTGTGTTGTTCACCAAACTACCAACTTCAATCAAATGAGGTTTGATTATCGCAAGGCGAATTTTCTTCCCAATCATTCTGCCCATTGCCAGCCGCCCCTCTTGCCCCCCTCAAATACAATTTTATCTTATATGGCGAAAAATCTTGATATCAGTCGCCAGCAAATCAAACAAATACAAAAGTTATTTGCTCGAATTATTTCAAGATATTTGTTAGGTCGTGTGTGTGTGTAGGAGGGGGACCCTAATGTTGTTGTAGTTTTTGTCTTTGATCAAACAAATAAGTTATACAAGTTCTGAAGATGATTTATAAATCTTTCTTTCTTCTTCGAAGATGAAACATTTAGGTGGGAATCAGGGAATCTTAAATGTGGGAAAGGAGGGTACATTTTAAAGAATTTTCTTAAATTCTTAGAGCCCAATAATCGGGGATTTAAAAAAAAAATGCCTAGTTGTTTTCAAGGTCAATAAACGTGGATTTTTAAATTTTTTTTTCTGAAATCTTTCTAGATTCTTAGAGGTCTATAAACGTGGATTTCTTAAAGAATTCTTTCTAGATTCTTAGAGGTCCTTAAACGTGGATTTTTTAAAAAATTCTTTTTAGATTCTTAGAGGTCTATAAACGTGGATTTTTTAAAAAATTCTTTTTAGATTCTTAGAGGTCTATAAACGTGGATTTTTTAAAGAATTTTTTTTTTGAATCTTGGAGGTCCATAAACGTGGATTTTTTAAAGAATGTTTTTTTTAGAATCTTGGAGGTCCATAAACGTGGATTTTTTAAAGAATTTTTTTTAGAATCTTGGAGGTCCATAACGGTGGATTTTTAAAGAATTTTTTCTAGAATCTTGGAGGTCCATAAACGTGGATTTTTTAAAGATTTTTTTTTAGAATCTTGGAGGTACATAAACGTGGATTTTTTATAGAATTTTTTTTAGAATCTTGGAGGTCCACTTTTTAAAGAATTTTTTCTAGAATCTTGGAGGTCCATTTTTTAAAGAATTTTTTCTAGAATCTTGGAGGTCCATAAAAGTGGATTTTTAAAAGAATTTTTCCTAGAATCTTGGAGATCCAATTTTTAAAGAATTTTTTCTAGAATCTTGGAGGTCCATAAAAGTGGATTTTTAAAAGAATTTTTCCTAGAATCTTGGAGATCCAATTTTTAAAGAATTTTTTCTAGAATCTTGGAGGTCCATAAAAGTGGATTTTTAAAAGAATTTTTTCTAGAAGCTTGGAGATCCATTTTTTAAAGAATTTTTTCTAGAATCTTGGAGGTCCATAAAAGTGGATTTTTAAAAGTATTTTTTCTAGAAACTTGGAGATCCATTTTTTAAAGATTTTTTTCTAGAATCTTGGAGGTCCATAAACTTGGATTTTTTAAAGAATTTTTTCTAGAATCTTGGAGATTCATAAATGTGAATTTTTTTAAGATTTTTTTCTAGAATCTTGGAGATTTATAAACGCGGATATTTTAAGAATTTGTTCTAGAATCTTGGAGGTTCATAAACATGGATTGTTTAAGATTTTTTTCTAGAATCTTGGAGGTTCATAAACGTGGATTTTTTAAGATTTTTTTCTAGATCCATAGAGGTTTATAAAAGTGGATTTTTTTAAAGAACTTTACATAGATCCGTAGAGGTCCATAAACGTGGATTTTTTAAAGAATTTTTTCCAGATCCATAGATGTCTGTAAAAGTAGATTTTTAAAGATTTTTTCTAGATCCATAGAGGTCTATAAAAGTGGAATTTTTAAGACTTTTTTCTAGATCCATAGAGGTTTATAAAAGTGGATTTTTTTAAGAAGTTTTCATAGATCCGTAGAGGTTCACAAACGTGGATTTTTTAAAGAATTTTTTCCAGATCCATAGATAAGATTTTTTCTAGATCCATAGAGGTCTATAAAAGTGGATTTTTTAAAGAATTTTTTCTACGATCTTGGAGGTCCGTAAACGTGGATTTTTAAAAGTATTTTTTAAATTTTTTTCCTAAATTTTTGAAGGTCTAAAACGTGGATTTTTAGAATAATTTTTTTAAATCTTTTCCTAGATTTTTGGAGGTCTATAAACGTGGATTATTAAAATAATTTTTTAAATTTTTATCCTAAATTTTTAGAGGTCTATAAAAGTGGATTTTTAAAAAAATGTTTTAAAATCTTTTCCTAGATTTTTGGAGGTCTATAAACGTGGATTATTAAAAAAAAATAAATTATTTCCTAAATTTTTGGAGGCCTATAAACGTGGGTTTCTCCTAGATCCTTAAAGGTCTACGAACGTGGATTTTTCAAAAGATTTTTTCGTTAATTTTTGGAAGTCTATAAACGTGGATTTCTCCTGGATTCTTAAAGGTCTACAAACACGAATTTTTTAAGATTTTCTCCTACATCTTTGGAGCTCTATAATGTGGAGAAGTTTTCCTAGATTCTGCTAAAAATAGTTTAAGAACCTCTGTATATTCCCTTCAGCGAATTTTGATTGCTGTTGTTATTTGATTTCCAAGATAAGATTATGTGCTTGGCACACAAACAGTTTATCACTCATCATCATGTAAACACTAAAACTATTGTTGTTTATGATCTGTAACTCTCGGATACTATACGGCAATGAAAAAACAATTAGGGGACCGACTCAGACGGTGTGAAGAAACAACAAAAATATGATGTAAAGAAAAATCTCGAAGAGGAATTCTTACAAGACATCTAAATAAACAATAAACAACATGAAAAATATTTGTTACAATTTCGATTTCAAATTCATTCCAAGTCATTGGACAAAGGTGATCCGTGTGTATGACCGCATTGCTCAATTATTTATTTGTCCATCCAAATCGAATCAAATGTCTATTGAATGAATTTATTAGGACCCATGGGAAGATGTTGTGCCCCCGATGTTTAACAACACCATTTATTTGGGCTAATAAACTCCTCATAATTATACTGCTAATTGGTAATAATGAAGCTGTTTGTGGGGTGAGAAGCGGGGAGGGGAGGTGAGTGGAATTGCGTTTTGTTCGGTGATAAGAAACCCAACCTTACATACTTTATTTTGCGGACTGTCGGATACTCAGGTGAGTCGAAAAATGAAGCTCTTCAAAAAAATAAGGGAAACATTTTTTAAAAAAAGTCCACGTTTATAGACCTCTAAGAATTTAGGAACATTTCTTAAAAATCTACCTTTATAGACCTCTAAGAATGTGGAAAAATTTCTTTAAAAAATCCACGTTTACAGACCTTTAAGAACCTAGAAAGAATTCTTTAAAAAATCCACCTTTATAGACCTCTAAGAAAGTGGAAAAATTTATTTAAAAAATCCACCTTTATAAACCTCTAAGAATGTGGAAAAATTTCTTTAAAAAATCCACGTTTATAGACCTCTAAGAATCTAGAAAGAATTCTTTAAAAAATCCACGTTTATAGACCTCTAAGAATCTAGAAAGAATTCTTTAAAAAATCCACGTTTATAGACCTCTAAGAATCTAGAAAGAATTCTTTAAAAAATCCACGTTTATAGACCTCTAAGAATCTAGAAAGAATTCTTTAAAAAATCCACGTTTATAGACCTCTAAGAATCTAGAAAGAATTCTTTAAAAAATCCACGTTTATAGACCTCTAAGAATCTAGAAAGAATTCTTTAAAAAATCCACGTTTATAGACCTCTAAGAATCTAGAAAGAATTCTTTAAAAAATCCACGTTTATAGACCTCTAAGAATCTAGAAAGAATTCTTTAAAAAATCCACGTTTATAGACCTCTAAGAATCTAGAAAGAATTCTTTAAAAAATCCACGTTTATAGACCTCTAAGAATCTAGAAAGAATTCTTTAAAAAATCCACGTTTATAGACCTCTAAGAATCTAGAAAGAATTCTTTAAAAAATCCACGTCTATAAACCTCTAAGAATCTAGAAAGAATTCTTTAAAAAATCCACGTTTATAGACCTCTAAGAATCTAGAAAGAATTCTTTAAAAAATCCACGTTTATAGACCTCTAAGAATCTAGAAAGAATTCTTTAAAAAATCCACGTTTATAGACCTCTAAGAATCTAGAAAGAATTCTTTAAAAATTCCACGTTTATAGACCTCTAAGAATCTAGAAAGAATTCTTTAAAAAATCCACGTTTATAAACCTCTAAGAATCTAGAAAGAATTCTTTAAAAAATCCACGTTTATAGACCTCTAAGAATCTAGAAAGAATTCTTTAAAAAATCCACGTTTATAGACCTCTAAGAATCTAGAAAGAATTCTTTAAAAAATCCACGTTTATAGACCTCTAAGAATCTAGAAAGAATTCTTTAAAAAATCCACGTTTATACCCCTCTAAGAATCTAGAAAGAATTCTTTAAAAAATCCACGTTTATAGACCTCTAAGAATCTAGAAAGAATTCTTTAAAAAAATCCACGTTTATAGACCTCTAAGAATCTAGAAAGAATTCTTTAAAAAATCCACGTTTATAAACCTCTAAGAATCTAGAAAGAATTCTTTAAAAAATCCACGTTTATAGACCTCTAAGAATCTAGAAAGAATTCTTTAAAAAATCCACGTTTATAGACCTCTAAGAATCTAGAAAGAATTCTTTAAAAAATCCACGTTTATAGACCTCTAAGAATCTAGAAAGAATTCTTTAAAAAATCCACGTTTATAGACCTCTAAGAATCTAGAAAGAATTCTTTAAAAAATCCACGTTTATAGACCTCTAAGAATCTAGAAAGAATTCTTTAAAAAATCCACGTTTACAGACCTCTAAGAATCTAGAAAGAATTCTTTAAAAAATCCACGTTTATAGACCTCTAAGAATCTAGAAAGAATTCTTTA